CGGATTTCACTAAGGGGTAAGTAGGCGGGTCAGTCAGGACTGGCCTGTATGTAGTATTGAGTAAAAGGTTCGAAACGGGCATCATCAAGGCAGAATTCATATGCCGGATGGGGCCATTCATGTCAACGTGGTGAATAGAAAGCCAGTCTCGAGGCGATAGGAACCCAGATGCGATCGGTTACATTCAGGCGAGTCCAGCCGAGGAAGGGGCAAGGGAAATGTGACCAGATTACTAGTGTATGACAAATACAGAAGGTTCCGCCAAAAGCGTCGACAGAGCACATTCTGTGAGGGCACGATGCATGAACTGAAAAATCGAAAAATTAACATTTCTGATGAGGGATCCTAGGAAGCGATACAACTCACAAATGAAGGAAGTGTGAGCAAATACAGAACTTCAGTTGCGGCGTCCTAAATTCCCGGTGGTCCTTTCTCAGTGTCGTAGAGAATGTTGTCCGGGAAGGATGAGGAAAATAAAAGTTTAATCGAGTCAGTATTCAGATAAAGGCGCAGCCTTCTCTTAAAATTGTGTAGATTATCTGAAGATCTTATATTTATTGGAAGGTTATTCCAGAGGAAAGTATGCCTGGAAGAGAAAAAATAGAGTACTTGGAGGCGGAGGAGGCTGGAGGAGGTATAATCAAGGAAGAAATGATAAGATTGTATGGGCGGTTACTAGGGGTAAGTGCTGCAATCCGAGGAAGATTTGAACTATTATTAATGCGAAAGAGGAGACAGAAGCCTGCTTCTAGTCTTCGAACCCATAAAAATTTTAGGGTAATTAGCTGTCATCTATCTGAGTAGGAGATATTTGGATGTTCCTGCCTAAAGGTTTTCTAGTAAAACTCTTTTGACATTTTCAATTTTTAAACGACTAGCCTCGTTCATCAAACCAAAGAATGGGCAACAGTACTCGAGAATGGGAAGTACGATAGTCTTAATTTATTTTCAGGAAGATAGAGATTGTAAGAAATAAAGTCACAAATCTGGGCGGCTTTGGCTGTAATCCTGTCAGCGTGTGACGAGAGATCAAGATTATTAGTGTAGCTTAAACCTAAATCATTGATGGTGGTACATTCAGTCATAGGTGTGCCTTTAAAGACCATTGGTTGGGGTAGCCTCTCAGGTCAAAAACTTAGCAATCGGGATCCCCAGCACGTTGCACTCCTCCGCCGCCGTCGATGGGCAAGTGACGGCCTCTAAAACGCTCCGGGTTTGCCATAAAGTTCCCAGATGATGTGTATGTTTATTCTCATAAAATATGTAACATATTTTTTAGATCACAAAAACACAAATTGTTTCCGAATAACGAAACTACTGCACTGACGCTTATGGGTCATATGGGGGGTTCTTGAAGTAGCTGTACCCAGTGGACCGCGGAGGCAACCCTCGACTGACATAAAAGAAACACTGCCAGATAGACAGGACAACTTGGCAAGGTCGCCTAAATAGACTACTTGTATCCGAGAAGGCACAAAAGTTTGTGTGAAATGGCGGGACAATAAAGCCCACCAAAAAGTAAAGGGATTACAAAGCCGTTAAGTCCTGACATTGAAACTCGCGCCAAGACGTGGAACACAGACCGGTGCTTGTCTGCTAGCGGGGCAAGAAAGATTAGCTACATGACCTATTATAATTGGTTATGGACAAATTTAAGGTCCCGCTCTCATCCCCCCTTCCTTTATTCCTCAATCCTCACTCCCCCATCCCCTCGCTCCACTCCAAAAGTTCCTACGGAGGGAGAAACATGCAATCTCGTAAGCGGCCCAGGCTAACTCAGGTCGCTCTCCCACTAAACGAAGTCGTAGCCCATAGCAGAGTTCGGCAGCTGTCTGGAATGTCTAAACAGCCCTAAGTGGAGACAGCACTGCTTACAAATTCGACGGGCAAGAAACTTGAAAAGGTGTCCTGAAAAAACACCGGCATCGTGCCATTAACAAACCAAATGTAGAAAGCAGACGTACGACTCACGACCGAACAAGTCAGAAAAACAGCAACCCTTGCCCATATCCCTCAGTTCCGTCCTGCAGGCTGTTATTAATGCGAAAGAGGAGACAGAAGCCAGCTTCTAATCTTCGAAGCTTCTAGTCTTCTCCGCTCAGTCTGGCAGCCTGTAGAAGGTGAAAATCGAATGGCCGAATAGAAACCCGGTGCCAGTCGCCCGAAGACTGAATGCCACAAAGCGTATATCGCAGCCGTCTCGGCAGGCCCCGATTCTCCGAAAAGAGTCATCTGAAAGAGGCGGGTGCCGGCTACACCTATGCCTAGGGCGCGACGAGGCGCGGGCGTCGTCTTTGCCATCCGGAACGATATCGCGGAACGACTGTCTTGCCCGAAACAGGTTATCGAATATCTACTTTTACACTGCGCTGCATCCTCTGGTAGCCAAATTCACCATCATCCTCAGCGCTTACGTCCTCCTCCCAATAACCAGTCCCGACGAGGTACAGAATAAATTCTGCGGGAAACTGCCTGTCCTCCTGGCGACTTTTCTGAGGGTCGACAAGCTAATTGGCCTTGGTGATTTTTGTGTTCGTGTTTGGACAGACCATGCTGCCTGAACGGAGGTGCTGGGTCTCCGTGAAATCTGCGGTTACAACGACAACGAGCTACTCCTTCGTGGTGCCTGTGCAAAACACAGTCTTCTTCTCACCAACACCGTCCTCCGCCTTCTGACGCGGAAGAAACGATCTGAATGTGCCCAAGATCGCGGAGCTGGTAGCTGCTGAAAAACGCTCTCATCCGAAGGCGAGATCAACGGGATGTGGTGGTGACCAAGGCAATCTGCGACGGCGAAGGATATACAAGCATCCACCTCGTCATCTCCAATATGAGGCTTCGAATGCAACGTTGCATTAGACTGCAAGTAAGCGAAAACCAGTCAAGCCAGGTGCTGTCCTATTGAATGCGTCTGCTCGTCACCCGACTTCCAGTAATCAGCTGACCCGGCCGCTGCGAGACACTCTGGCTCCGGAGAAAAACGCCAACGTGCAGACACGGTGGTGTCGACGGTGGAATGCCATCCATTCCACCGCCCTAGGTGTCCTTGGACGTGAATGTCGTCAAAACCAAAACTGGTTCGGCAACAAAGACACCGATATCAGCGAGCAGCTCACCGGAAAGAACAGCTTGCATCGACCGCCGGAGGGAAGTAAACAAAATTGTCATCTTAAGATGTCGCTGTCCTGTGTAGCAACGACTGTGAGAAATGCAGGACAAATAAATGGATCGTAGGGCCGAGGAAATTCAATGTTACGCGGACCGCAATGGCAAGAAATACATCTTCGCGCCAACCAAGATGGCTCACGGCCCCACATCCAAGGAACCTTGCCGCTCCTCAGTAACGGTGGAGAAACACTCTTGATGGAAATATTGCGGATTCTGGAACTCTTGGCCAAGCACTTCAAAACCGTCCTCAACCGCTTATTCATGATCTCCAAGTCACTATCGACCGGCTTCCCCAGGTTGGAACGAACAACGACCTGACCTCCCGCCTCCTCTGCCAGAAACAATCAGAGACGTGTGCCGGTCGTCCAGTGAGAAGGCACCGTAATCCAACAATCCTGGTCAAAGCTTACAAGCATGACGATCCCGGATGATGGACGAATTTAGAACGATGTCTCAGAAGATGGGATGTCAAGAACAACTTCCTTGGCATCTCGAGGACGAGACAATCGTCCAGCCCTATAGTTGGAAAGGAAACCGCCGACTTTTGGATAACCACGATGGAATCTTGCTGCCCAACATCGCCGAAGATCTTTGCTAGCATTCTCCACAACGGCCATTAAGGGCAGGGATTTCTCCCTAAAGCCTCTTTGGCTTTGACGACACCGCAGAACCACTGGCATGCTCTTTGCAGCCATAGAACTGCAAAAAATTGTCAGGAATGGCAGACCCACCTCTACACAGCCTTTATGGACCTGATGAAGGCCATCGATGCAGTAAATCACGTAGTAGTCCGCAGAGCCATGCAGAAATTAAAATGTTTTTATCGATTCACGTCTATGATGCGTTAGATCCACGACGGGAAAATGACGCGCGTCACGGACAATGGGGTGACCACTGGAGTATTCGCAGTAACCAATGAGGTGGAGCAGGGCCTCTAACTCGCTCTAAGCTTCTTCAGCCTCAGGTTCTCTGCCATGCTGATGAACGCCTATCGCGATTAGTGCCCTGGCAGCTGCATCGTCTGCACGACCCACGGTCATCTTCTCGATAGCCGGTGCATGCAGACCCCAATGCGTCTTTCCACGACTTCTGTCCACGGCCTGCTCGTCGCGGACGACTGAGCTCTCAACACCGCTCAACACTGCTTGCCCGATCTGTATTGTATATTTATTTTGGTAGTGCCTGTAAGAAGAACCTCAGTGGAACGACCATTAACCGGATATTCAAGAGAGCCTGGACCCCTTTGCTGCCGACTGCGCCAAATCCGTCTGGCCATCAACACGGGTAAAACGGTAATAATGCATCTACCGTCACCTGACACCAAGTGTAACGTCCCTTGCATCACTTTCAATGGCCCCCAAGTCAAAACCTCCGAAAACTCTATCTGTTTAGGCAGTGAATTCTCACAAAGGATCAAAACTAACGACTAAGTGGCCTACCGGATTTCTAAAATCAGGCGGGCTTTGGTCGGCTGCAGGCCTCCGTCTGGAACCATCACATATTTAGTCTGGACACAAAATTCAAAATTTACGGGACGGTAGTCCTGACCAAGCCTGTCGCCGCATTTCTCCCTGCTCCTTCATCTCCAAGCAGAGCAAACGGGTGAAACAGGTCAGCCCGAAAGTTAGTGCAGTCAATCTTGTCGGCAGCTCTAATCCTGGTTGCACATTTTATGTCCGCGACACCCGGAATGGTAGACGTTTCTTGGTTGCTACTGGTGCCCGCCTGTCATTCCGCACACACCAGCTGATCCTCGGTGCGCCAATCCCGGCCTTTTCCTACAGGTTGTCAACAAATCGTCGAGTACCACCTTTGGCACCTGCTCCGTCTCTATGGACATCGGTCTCCGGCGTCTTTTTTCTTGGGTCTTCGTCGTTGCTGACATCCCTTCTGCCATTATCGGTGCAGATTTTCTCGCCGCTTTCGATATTCTGGTCGACTGCCGTCATTTCCGTTTACGCGACAAGACCACCAGCCTCATCGTCCGGGGTATCTCCTCCTCCGACACTCCCCGTCAGCTCGCCGTCTTGGACCCTGAACCCGAGAATCCATTTCGGCAGCTCCTTGACAAATACCGCAGACTCACTCGTTCCAACTTCGGCGCTTCTCTTCCACCACAAGACGTTGTTCACCACATCCGGGCCACTGTCCCTCCAGTGTTTTCTCGATCCGGCCGTCTCGCGCCGTCACGACTGTCTGCCGCCAAGGTTGAGTTCGAGCACGTGCTTCAGATGGGCATCATCCGTCAGTCTGAAAACCCATGGGCGTCGCCCCTCCACATGGTCCAAAAGGCCGCCACTGGTGACTGGCGCCCCTGCGGTGATTACAGGGTCCTGAGCAACGTTACTGTCCTGTCTCACCTCTTCAGGATTTTGCCGGTGCCCTATTCGGCAATTCGGTGTTCTCGAAGACTGACTTGGCCCGTGATACTCACCAAATCTTATCGCCCCAGAGGACGTTTCGAAGATGGCCGTCACCATCCCCTTTGGCCTCTTTGAGTTCCCACGCATGTCGTTTGGCCTCCGCAACGCCTCCCAGACCTTTCAGAGGTTCGTAGACAGAGTGCTTCGTTGCCTATCATTTGTCTACGTCTATATCGACGAGCTGTTTATAGACAGCCCCACCGCCAAGGAACACGTGGGGGCATCTTGCAATGGTGTTCGACTGCCTTCAACAAGTTGATGTTGTTCTCAGTTTATTTTCAGTTTATTTGGTAAGGATAATAGGCAAGGCCTTTGAAAACCTTACTGATTACATGTCAGCGCGTTAGATACAACTGTTCACGAACAATGAAAATGTTCGCTGTTAAAATAGTACTTGGTTCATTTGAGTAGCATTGTTTCAGAAAAATAATTTCTGGTGCAGCGGGTATTTAGCTCAGGCAAAGACTGTCGTGGGAAAACCGGGGACACAAATAATCATCCAAGTGTTTCTTGAAGAGTTGCAGGGACGTCGTCTCCACGACTGACTGAGGAAGATCGTTCCAGTTCCCCACTACCCTTTGCGTGAAAACTTCAGAGCGAAGATTCAGCCTGGACATTTTGTCCGTAGGTTTATCGAGTGACCACGAAGACTGGGTGAAAGGTGCCACTGAAACATGTCCTCAAAGGCAAGTCCATGCTCAAGGCCATGTATTATCATGTAGACGAGGATAAGATTGCCTCTTTGCTGCCTGTAACACAGAGGGAATAAATTAAGGCAATTCGGTCTCTCTATGTAGGATTGGTTTTTTAAACCGTTCACCAGCTTTGTTGCACGCCGTTGTACGCTTTCAAGGCATGTTTAGTCCTTTACAAGGCATGGCCGCCACGCTCGTATGCCATATTCTAAATGGGGTCGAACAAAAGTGTCGTAAACTCTTCCAAAAAGGTGTTTGTCAAGGTTACGAACTTCCATTTGATGGCATGCAGCACTCCCATCGCGTTTTTTGCCGTCTTGTTGCATTGCAGTGCTGGTATCATGTCGCCCTGTAGCCAAACACCGAGATCCTATCGTGAAGATTCTGCAGGAATTCTAATGTCTTTCAGGTGATATGCCCTCAGACTCTCAGATGAATGACAATTGGCTGGAGGCAGATGAAGGACGGCACACTTCTGCTCACTGAAACCCGGAAGCCATTTCTTGGACCACGCTTACAGTCGGTGAAGACTGTTTTGAAGGGCTCTCTGGTCATTTGGACTGTTGATGACTTGCCAGAGCTTAAAATCATCGGCATACATTATTTTACCGAAATCGAGTTCCTGAAGGCTGTCATTAACAACAAGGATGAAGAACGATGGTCCCAGAACTGAGCCCTGAGGCACACCACTAGTCACGTTCATCCAGTCTGACATATCATCTCCGATACAGACACGTTGTTTTCGACCAAACAGAAACGCCCTTATCCAGTTCAGAAGATCTCCTCGGATGCCAATGACGCTCAATTTGTGAAGAAGGCGTTGGTGCGGGACAGTGTCAAATGCTTTGCGGAAATCGATGCTCACGACATCGACCTCAAAACCCTCTTCTAAAGCCCTGGTCCAGATCTCCATGCAAGCTAGCAGATTTGAGAGGCAGGAACGTACTCTCCGGAAGCCATGTTGAAAATCCTGCAAGGTGTTATTTTCTTCACAAAATTACTGTATGTCACTCTTTACTAGAGCTTCCACCGTTGTGCATGAGAAGCAAATTAAGCTATTAGGCCTGAAGCTGCTTGCTGCCATCCTGCTACCTCCCTTATGTAAGGGAACGAGGTTAGCTCTCTTACACTGTGAGGGCAGCCTTTCTGTTCTCATTGACAGCTCAAAGAGAGTCGAAATAGGCTTTGACAGCTCCGTTGATAGCTCCTTCAGTATCAGCCCAGGAGTCCCGTTGGGTCCAGGAGACTTATCTGGTTTTATATGACTGAGGACACGTCTCACTTCTTCGATGGAAAAGACAACGGTTTCAATGACGGCAGTATCTTGGTGCATTTGAAGCTCCCGGCTGTCTTGGCCCATTTCAAACTCCTGATTGCCTTCAGAGGACTCATCCGTAAAAACCGATTGAAAAAACTGAGATAGTAATTGCACTTTCTGTGGCCCTTCAAATAAAAAGTTTCCAAGCGCGTGTTTGATGTTCCATCCCTAGAATTTCTCAGACATATGTTTGACTCCAAAGGCATCCGCCCTCTTCTATCGAAGGTTGCGGCTATACGCGATTTTCCACCTCCCTCTTCTAAACGTCAAATGCACCGATCTCAGGGCATGGTGAATTTCTACCGTCGGTTCCTGCTGCACTGTACCGGCACCATCCCGCCGCTCATGAACCTCCTCTCGGGTCCCAAAGGTTCGCTCAAGCTGTCTGCGGACACCATCGCTGCTTTTGACAGGGTGAAGGCTGCCCTGGCCGACGCTACCCTCTTGACGCATTTTTCTCCCGATGCCCCCATCTCCCTCATGGTTGACGCTCCTAATGTTTCAGTCGGCGCGGTTCTACAACAGCACCTTGCAGGTCACACCCAACCCCTAGCTTTCTTCTCCAGGAAGTTATCACCTGCCGAGACGCGCAACAGCACATTTGGACGGGAACTCCTCTCTGTCTTCCTTGCCGCAAAACGCTTCGAGAGTTTCCTGGAGGACAAGGACTTAGCTGTGTTCACCTATCCCAAACCTCTTTAGTTGGTTCTCAAGTCCACTTCTGACAAGTTCAATCCACGGGAAATTTGCCAACTGGACTGCATCTCGCAGTTTACCTCAGACCTCCGCCACATCGACGGGTCACGTAATGAGGTGGCTGAGGCACTATCAAGGCCCTCCATCGCACATCTCCAACTTCCTCCCGGGATCGACCTCGCTAAGATGACTGCCGAAGAACCCCGTGCTGGTTTTCATTCTGACAAGGACTGTTCTGGACTGCAACTCCAGGACCTGCCACTGAGTATTGGCAACGGCACCATTTTATGCGACGTCTACACCACTTCCCACCGTCCCTTTGTGCTGCCACCCCTCGGCGCAAAGTCTCTTCCTCCCTGCACAATCTATCGCACCCTGGCAGTCGGGCTACCGACAAGCCGGTTTTCGACCACTTCGTTTGGTCTGGGATGCACAAGGACCTGAAAGCATGGACACGGGCGTGTCTTGGCTGTCAAAGGAATAAGGTCCAACGGAACAACAAGGCCCCCATCGGCACTTTCTCCACTCAGGATGCACGGTTCAAGCATGGCCACCTGGACATCTTAGGTCCCCTGCCTCTGTCTAGTGGCCGTCCCTATCTCTTCACCTGTCTGGATCAACTCACCCGGCGGCCGGATGATACCGTTCTGTCTGATGTTGCCGCTTCAACAGTCGCCAAGGCTTTCCTCAGTCGTTAGGTTGCAATTTTCAGTCCCCCTTCTATTACCCTAACTGACTGCGGTGCCCAATTTGAATCTAACCTCTTCCAGTCTCTTCTCTCCTTTCTAGGCTCTACTCGAATCCGCACCACAGACTATCATCCGGCAGTCAACGGGATAGTTGAGCAGTCTCACCGCCTGCTGAAGGCCTCCTACGTGTCGCAGACGATCCGGGGAAATGGACGGACCACCTCCCCTGGTTCTGTTGGGCATTCGCTCCTCCCTAAAGTCAGATCATGACTGTTCCGCTACTGAATTCGTGTTCGGTGCTACCGTCCGACTTCCCGTTCAGATGATCTCGCCAACCCCACCAGTTGCAGTCGAGGACCCTACCCCCTCCTGAACCGTCTCCGGCATTTCATGCGAGCACTTTCCCCGGTTCCGCCCGCGACATGCTTTCGCGCCTATCCCCGATATGGTCTAGTCCGCCGGTCACTGAAACCACCCTACAACGGCCCCTTCCGGGTTATCTCTCATGGGACGAAGACCTTCCGCATACAACGCGGAACTCGCGAGGAAGGCGTGGGCTTGAACCGTCTCAAAGCTGCAGCTCCGGACACTCCTCAGAATGAGCTCTGTGGCCGCCTACCCTCTTTCACCTCCCGATCCTCTATCCCACCGCCCGTATACTCCCTCTGCTCCAATGTCCGTGACCCTCAACTGCGAATTCCCCCTCATCGACCTCGAACACTGTAACCGCATGCTATACTCGCCCATCACCTGTGCCTCCTGTATGTATCATTCGTGGAGGGCGTCATGTTCGTTTTTCTGACCGTTTAATCACTCACGTTTTTTCGACATTGACAATTCCTTCGGCGTCGTCACACGCCACCCTCGGTTTAGAAGGGGGTACTGTGGCAGTCCACACCTTCCGGCTCTCCTCCGCTTTGTCACGCTGCCCTCCTGTTCGCCTCTCACTCCCTGCAGATTAGCTGCTGTGACACGCGAGGCTTGCCACTAGCGAGGCCAATCAACGCTGCTCCTTCCCTGATTGGCTAGCGGACACTGAGACAACGAAAAGCGCACGCACGCGATGGGGGCTGATAACTGCTACAGAGGACACAGATAACACAAAGTGGCCTGGAGAGACCACTCGCGGAGACTATTTGCAGAACCTTTGTGTGCACACCTCCTCAGCAGTAAAAGTTGTTCAACCCAATCCTTCTTCCCTGACTTCTGATTGGGGAACCTTTGTCTTGTCGGATAACCCGTCTCCACATGGCCATTAGTTGAACAAAGGCAGGTTTGTTAGTAGGTTTGTTTTATTGTTTTTATCACGAATGACGTTCCAAAACCTTGTGTCACCAGCAAACATGGCGATGCCGCTGTTACTGGGATTTTAAAGGATGATTATTGAACCCTACACTGTTGATACTCAATCGCACACTCCCCTGGAAAACAATAGGCACAGATTGCTTGTTTAATTGGTGAGCGAAAAGTATTGGCATATCTCACTTTGTAAGTGACCATGCAGTCAAATTGCGTAGGATTTGACCCGTGCAGCCTTCTGAATTTCCTACAAAAAGTCACAGACAAGCGGTGAATTCAGGGGGAAGGGTCACCCACATGGTCTGGACTAAATATATGAAGCTCTGAGATTAACTCCAGCCCAATTACTTATTTTCTCCTTAAAACACGGTATGCCCAGAAGTAGCATTTGGCTCTGGAGTACCTATACCGTCTCACATCCCGTCACTGCTTGTGTAGCGAAGTACTAGAGAGAAGACAACGTCGGGGACTCTGAGTTCCCAAATAACTCCCCATTCGTTTCGCACCTTTCGGCGATGAGATATAGTCCCAAAGTATTTTTTCACAGTACTCTCAGGACAAAAGATTGGCCCAACTGGCAATTTTGGCTTCTATCTCCGACAAAATGCGGACCTTCTGTTTTTTTGATGCGAGAATTGGGTCTTCCCAGCCTATAATTCGGCAACATCTAACTGAGGATAGTAAACAAACCAGAAATGGCCACTTAAGCCATCCTTGTTTTTGTCGGCGATACCGTTTTACCTGGTAAAGTGCGTTCGCTGCTTGGGCGTCGCCGACATTCGTCAAAATCTTTAGTTATGGTCACCTCCTCCAACGCTCAGGCATCCATGGTGTGATCCAAAAGTGCTGGCATGGGAGGTGAGACTATCTGCAGTCCGCGTCGCCCGACCGCTCCAGGCTACTGTCAGGACGTTCACACAATCACGAGCCTCCAGGCCCCGGTAGTCCAACGTCCTGGCGCCTGAGTCAAGGCTTAGACTTGACTTTCACACATCTATAAAATCAACAGACCACCCAGGCACACAATCCTATACATGACTTAATTTAGTAGGTCACCGCTTTCCCATCGAATTGTGTTGAATGGAGTAAGTGGAGAAACCGGTGGTGGTCGAGGAGTAGAGAACAATAGGGTATTTATTTATAGCATAAGGCGATTTGAATGTAAGCGAGGGGAGGAAGCGAATATGATGACGTAGGAGACCTCAGCACAAGTGGTAGGGGGTATAACAGGTCAGATGCTATGAAACTGTGGTTCAGTCTAACTGGTGGGGTCGTTAGGGTCGATTCTGGCCACGACATCGCACGATCGGGCAATCGCTTCCGTAACCAGGGTCCATCGGCCTTATGGCAACCCTGGTTGCGAAAATACACTGATTTAAGCAGCCTCAATCCTCTCCCAGTATTCGGCACACAATTCGGGCGCTCCATCAGAGGGTGATTGATGGCAGATGCTCGTAAATTGATCCAGACCGATAGAGACTTGATCAAATTAAACAGGACAACGTTTCTATGCACCGAGGGAAAACGCTTTGTCGTTAAACCCCTCTAGCCTTCTTCGCAGTGACGAGAAAGCAAGGTAGAAGTGCATCAATGAGGTCCGAGGATGCAGCTTCTCCAGACCTTCCGATCGAAGAAGCGCGTCATTTGAGAAAAGCATTCTAAGCATAGCCACAGTTTATCCACGACATGCAAATGAGTTCCACCGACCGTCTAACTGTCCTGTCTTGAGTCACCCAAGGTATTGGGAAGGGGTCTTAACTTGCGACCAATTTTTGTAACTGACCTCCCATGTGCTTCTCACAATGCTTATGGGGCTATCCGTTCAGACATAGCGGTATTGCCGCGAGCTTCGTTAAGTAAGCAGGAAAAATCACTGAACGCTGCAGCCAGATGACCCATCGACCGCTTTTACTGCATTGATGTGCTCGCGCTTTTTCTCCGTCTGTTATTAAGTGATTCAACGATCTTTTAAGAAAAGGAGATTTGTTACGTTTACTTTTGTGAGGTTGAATTCACCGAAGACTTCTTGGTACCATGCGTCATATGCCAGCCGTCTGGGTGACTCACAAATATATGTCGAGATAATTCACCGACAACAAAACAAGCCACTACTAACGTAAGTTAGCCCCCACGTAAGGTTGCTAGAGCAATAAGCGTTGCATTATTGAAGACCAGTAAATATCTTCCGGAAAGTTCGGAGTAAAGCACGAAAGAGAATCTATCCCCGTTGATCAAGCGAGCGCGAGCGCAGTGTTAGGCATGGTTGCCGAGGCGGAGATCTCGCCGTAGTTGGAACTCAGACGGTTTTCTTGGGCGGTTTTGACTGTCCGCGTGAGCAACAACTTCCTTTCGTGAAAAAGATACCTTCTGAATACTACCGTGTCCTTCATACTTCCACACCTATAATTATAACGTGAAAATGGATCTTTTATCTTTGTTCAAATACCTCCACCCCTCCAATTATTCGAACAATAAATGACAAAGGTATAGATCAGTGCAATTATTCCTACAAAGATAGAAAATAGGGCCGTACCACAATGCATATGCTATAGTTTACATCTAAAAATTTTAACCTATTTCTGAGGCGACTGAAGCAATTGCATGACTGCATGAACAATTAAACCGTCGTTTCTGACGATGTCCATCGTGTGCTCCACAGCAGAATGGAAGCAGGGGCGGTGACATGCGCGTGAGTTAGTTTATAGGGATAATAGACTTGCTTTGCATCTACCAAACTCTCGCCTTCTCATTCACCAGGCCCCGTGTCAAGACAGAGTCGGAGACCGAGGAGACAGAGGCCGGAGAGGGTGCAAGTTAATGGCACGACTTGAACTTTCAGCTGGGCGTGTCGCCACACACCATGGTCCACGCACAAAGCACCAAGTTTCATACAACAAGAAAAAGGGTAGAAGGCTAAAGCTCCAAACGAGTGAGAGTGCCATAAACGTCACAGAAAGAAGGAGTCATTACTGCCTGACGCTCCATCCAAAGGGGTGGACCGAGTTATCCCGTCAGTTGGCAGTCCCTCAAGCCACGGTTTTAAGGGAACCGTGATGGATTCAAGCGTCTGAGGAAAATGGAGTGCTCACCGGATAGAGGGTCTTGTTTGGCTGACGTTTCGAAGAGCTGGGGCTGCTCTCCATTATCAAAGCGTCAAGTGAAAAATCGATCAGAGTTGGCGAAGGCAGCGAAAGAAGAAGAAAATCGATGAGCCCAAGTCAAAGTAATCCGGCAGTCCATTCAAAAACTCTGATGTACTTTTCACTTGACGCTTTGATAATGGAGAGCAGCCCCAGCTCTTCGAAATGTCAGCCAAACAAGAACCTCGATCCGGTGAGCACTCCATTTTCCTCAGATTATCATCCCGGATCTCTTACTTTTGCTAACCTGGACTCAAGCGTTTCAGATCGTTTACAGCGGAGAATATGTGCCGAGATAGCCGACCTCAGTCTGTCTTCCGTCTGCCAGGCATCGGTCCACTGTCCAAGCTGTTCAGTTGTCTGATGCAGGAAGTGAGCGCAGTGGCTGACAGGGCTAGAGAGCTGGGCTGCGCGTGCCACTCACAGGACCCGGTCCCCCAAACTCACACACCAGGATTACACGCAAAAGTGGAGGTGGCTAGGATCTCACAGGTGTGCGAGAGGGAGGGGGCCATTATGACGGAGCCATCGCAGTCTGCCACTCATTCATCCATTCAGCCAGTCAACGCACGAACATGTACTGCGCTGACTGCACGGTCCCATTTGAATCGTCAGTTGGCAGACTCTTAAGTCACGGCTTTTAGCACACCGTGGTATATTTGAAGCATGTCGGATTGTTCATAGCGAGGAATTATGCAATAAGAGCCGACTTCAACCGCTCGACCCTCCGTCGTACATCAGTCGACTGTCCGAGCCGTCAATCAACAGGTGATGAGACTGGGAGAGGTGGCTGACAGAACTAAGAGTAGATCGTTTGCGCCTGTCGCACACATGACCTGGACACCCCTACGCACGCGCGAGGACTTCACACGGGGGTGGGGCGGAGTACCCAGATTTCACATGTAGCAGAGGGACCACACAAAGATAGGAGCCGAAACACACACTCCTAATCTATGTGAGGGTTGCCCGTGTTATGTGATGTTGGAGTTTCCATGATTTTTGCATGTGTTGATACGGAAACGTATGATGACATGGTTTTGGTTGCAGCGATTTTCCTCGGATTTTCGCGGAAAAACAAGGACAATGCAGACGGTTGGGGCGATGGCGGCTCCACACACTGGTTCGCCAGTTTCTGTGCGATGGATTCACAAGTAACCGACTAGGCCGATGCGTGAGGTGAATGTGCGATCACAATGGGCACAGGTTGGGACCGAGTTCACATCGATGGTAGTGGAGGCTCTGGTAGTGATGGTAATGGTTGACGATGAGACGGGAGCGCTTTCACAG